GTCCCTCAGGGATCTGCTATCTCGCCGACCTTATTCAACATACATATTAACGATATGGAAGAAAATGTTCAGTTCTGAACAGGCATGTGTCAACACAACCAAATATGCGGACGGTTGCACCATAGATACGTCCATAAGAACAGGAGAATCTAGCGATTTGCAAAGCGCTCTGGACTCAGTGCAAAGTTGGGCTGTGGAAAATAAGATGGAACTGAATGCCAAAAAGACAAAAAATATGTGGATTAACTTCACCGAAGCACCGACCCCTCTACCACTGCATATAGGAGATGCTATCATAGAAAGAGTCGATAATTTCAAACTCTTGGGAACCTGGTTTCAAAAGGATCTGAAATGGAATAAACATGGCGAAGAGACCACTCGCAAAGCAGCTAAAAGCCTGTACTGCCTAAGAGAATGTAAAAGAGCGAACCTACCAGTCGAAGTGGATCTCACCACTTATTTAACTAAAATCAGGCCTGCCTTGAATATTGTTCTCCAGTGTGGGGTGGTCTGCTCGATATCTAAAGGACGAATTGGGACGTGTGCAAAGGAGGAGTCTACGAATTATTGGCCTCCCGCATGGTTACCTGCCAACTCTCTAAGAGAGAAGAATTGAAGCCACATCGAGAGAACTCGATACTATCTTAGGTGATCCAAGTCATATCTTCTATCAACGAACTATAGAACATAATAAACATAACTATAATCTTAGGCATAGAGACGGTATATTTAAATACGCACCTTTTTCAGGCACTGAACGACACAGAAATAGTTTTATCCCACGAGCAATGAGACAGGGGTTGCATTAAAACTTAACTTGGTTTTTATTAACTTTTTACTAATTTCCTAGACTTTTAAATTTTTACTCCAAATTGTATATATAAAAATTTCCGATAATTTGTAAATATTATTGCATGCCTAGTTATGCTCTTCTCTTTTAATATACATTGTTGTAAATCCATTGTATTTTTAAACTAAAGATGGATCAATAAAAAATCATCATCAAATCATCACCATACGTAACATCAGTTTTTAAGGCAAACAAATACATCAATTTTAAAAGCAAACGTAACTTAGGTATTACGATTTCCAGCAATCTATTGCCCCTGATTTTTTTGTATGAAGCAAGAACAAATAAACTTTTGGATGCTTGTCCCATTAAACGATTATTCGAGTTTCTCGTTGATGTTTTTTTCAATTCCCACTCATTCCACTGATCTACTCCTGAAAATCGCCATACTTTTGAGATCAGTGGGAGGTCCACCCACGAAACATAGTGATGCACTCACGATTACAGATGAACTTTAGACTTCTCTAATATGGTGTCCCATGTCCGCCAAAAATCAATTTTTGAATTTCACTGTATGATATTTTGAGGATCATATTCATTTCATTAAAATAATAACATTGTTTTTGAAGATCACCGGTTTATCGGTTGAAAACACAACTTATTTTTTGAAGACCAACTTTTGAAGACCAACTTTTGAAGACCAACTTTTGATACCCAACCGCAATCCAATGTCTTTGTTGTTCCCGGGCTCATTTATTATGTTTTCAAAATGGAGGAAGAAAACAAACAATACTTGCTACAGGCAATTTTTGATGTGATAAATTCCATCGTGACCGTTTTTCACAGTCTCGAGACGCTAATGTAGACTACCAAGAACTTATGCTGAAACTTGATTTTTTACAACGGTTGCTAGTAAATATGAATCTTGATTATTCGATATGTGCAAACGTTGGAGAGGCATATAACATTCTTTTCAATATGGAACAAATGGAACACCAATCCAGACAATAGGATATCCGGAGGGGGTAGGGGGGTTAACTTCTAATTTCCAGTTGTGGGGGTGGTATGGATGTTTTCTGGAATGATCCATTGATAAACAGAGAAAAACAGGATAATGTATTGTCCTAGAACGTAGATATCCTAAATTCCTAATATATTACACACAGTCAGGTTTTAGCAGTGCCGTAGCAAGCTCGATAATTTGGGGGGGGGGCTGATATTCATATATTTGTGTTCACAGACCATAAAAACAATGGATTTCTAAAGAAATTAATAACACAGAACACGAATATATGAATATCAGCCCTCCCCCAATTATCGAGCTTGCTACAACACTGTTTAGGTGTCCAAATGGTACACATGACATTAAAAACCTACACAAGCTTCCCCCTGCCCCCCTCCCCCTAAAAGTTGATGTCTGCTGCCACTGCTCGAAATATGTTCTCCTTTTGGAGGATATGAAGGAGTGGATATTAAAGTTATAAATGTTTATGTAATCTACTCCTTCACATCCTACAAAAGGAGAAAATCGCAACTAAAATTGCAGCAACAAATGGCAACAATACAACAACTTACTGTGTAATGTTAGAAAATGGAGGGGTATTCTGCAATCTAACCTGATCAAAAGTAAAATATTATACGAGCCGCCAACACCAAGTCATAAATCATAATTAACTATTAATACATGTCATGTACATTGTACAGTATATGAATAATTCAAATTCTTGAATTTACATCAGCCTGCACAAAATGGATATGAAAATAGAACACTGAATATATAAAAAGTTTAGTTACTCAGACAGAGATTATTTTAGCGGAAAATCACGACAATATGAGCCCGCGAACAACAAAGACATTGGATTGCGGTTGGGTATCAAAAGTTGGTCTTCAAAAGTTGGTCTTCAAAAAATAAGTTGTGTTTTCAACCGATAAACCGGTGATCTTCAAAAACAATGTTGTTATTTTAATGAAATGAATATGATCCTCAAAATATCATATAGTTGAAATGCAACATGGGACACCATGCATGGAGCATGCGCAATGCAGCATGGCGGACATGGGACACCATATGAATGAAGAAGAAGCAATATGTTTATATTGAAGTAGCAAAGACCAGGGGTTAAAGGGCAATCAGGGGTGACAGATATTAAACATGTGCGTAGCATTGACATTGACATACAGGTAAATTAAGATCAGATTTCATATCAAATCTGTATACTGCTAGGCACATTTACCACATTATATAGACTATATACACAGATTTATCACACTAAGAAACCAATATTTTATAAAAATATAGAACTGACAGTGGCCAAAGTCCAAAAAAAAGTAAGCGTAACAGTAGACTTGAAAAAGCTTCAGAAATTTGATAAAAATCAAAAGACTCGAGCGAGTTTAAATGTATTCTGCGCATACAAAGCATGCATGACCACAATTCCATGCGCTAAATAAAATTTAGTTCAAAACCCCCTCTCTGCATATATTAGGTTGCTGCTACGCTCAGTCGCTTCAGGCTCGCTCGCTCCACAGCAATTAAGACTGGCTTGCTATTTGGCTTAATTAGTTCGATCACGACAAGTTCAGCGTCCTGTTTTTCAAGATATTTGCGACGAATTGTTCGTATGTTAGGTTTTGATGCAACCAAGGTACAGGTACAAATCCAAAATATAAGTTCACTTTAAACACCCAAGACCAAATTACAACACCATAAAGTTGTTGCTATGGAAGGAGACACGAGACAAAATTTGAATTTAAACAGTCAAAATAGTAAACATACAATAAATCCCGAATAGTAAAACCAAATGAAATAAAATTTACACATGAGAACAGGAAAACAATTTATAGTTCACTTCAGAAATTTCAAGAAAAAAGAAGAAAAAATTCCATGAGGAAAAAATTCCTGATTGTATTGAGCGATGCTGCAATATGATACAAAATCACCACAAAAGAATCCAATACAACTCCTTTCGATGAGCTTACACTGATTTGAGATTATGACAACTAGACGAACCAGATATTTAGCTTTAATTTGTTGTAAAGATGTGCGATGTAGAATGAGAAATGACTAATTTACGGCCAGAATAAAACAGAGGTCACTCGACCGTAAATCGACCTTTAAGATGTTACTTGTAAATATATTGTAAATATAAAAGATTTTAGGCAAATACATTATGTTCTTGTGCAATGAATTTACCATGTCTTTATAATAATTGTGATTTGTGTTCTTTGATTTTGTTGGCTGGTATTATATTCAGACACTACTGTGTATACAGTAACTATACATGTATAATTTAATTTCACATTTAAAGATATTGTCTATGTGTTTCGCTAAATTACAAAAACCATCTAGACTAAACTAAAAGAAATTTTCCTAGACTAAACTAAAAGAAAATGTAATATTAATTTTTATTATATAAACTATAGTGCTTTATAGAGATTCTCACATGTGAGATTATTTATGATAATTTCAAATGTGAAAATTTCAATTCTCTTTTCAAAGACTGTCCTTATGTCATGTTCAACATTCGAAATAAATCCGGTATTTCCATGCAACCATGTATTATTCTCTTTTTATTATATAAACATAAGTGTTATATAGAGTTTTTGGCCACTGAGAAAAAATACGATATTTTTACGTGTGAAAATATCATTTGTTGTAAAATGCATTGCCACACACGTTTTATTGTTTTTCACTGAATGTTATGTTGTTTATATAATAAACAGATTTTTTCATGTTCAACACTCGAAATAAATCTGGTATTTCCGTGCACCCATGTATTATTCTCTATATCTTAATTCTCATCTAGTTTTACTTATTTTTGCGTAAATGTATGGGATTTCCATTCCGTCCGGAGGGATAAATTTCTCATTGCATGGGGGTTCAAGGGGGTTCTTATATAGGGTTAACCTTCCGATCCTCCTGCAAGGACCTACCTCCTGTAAATAGATCGTAGGTACCTTGATTAAATATTTTGATTGATTGATTGATTGACAAGATTTCCGTCCCATGGGGCAGGATGGGATTGTTAACTTGTCCTGATTGGTTACTGTATGTGAATGAAAGGATAATCTACAGTGTTTTCAGTGTATATTATCTATATTATGTATAGAGCTGGTAGAGCAAAATCTACAACGAGGACTGAAGAGAAACTATCTTCTCACAAACTGCTATTAAACAGGTGTGAGAGAAAATATTGTCCGCTTCTTTCGTTCCTTAGCCACCAAAAAATAACACTTAGGTCAGTTCGGGTTTGGGGAGTTTCAGTTATAAATATTAATCTGGAACTGGAATCTGTTATAAAATGGAACTTGTATCTTTCACGTAATAAGAATATTTGTACTATTCAGGGATAGGAATGTTAATTTTCTATGGCAACTGGTGTACTTGTATATCTTTCCTTTACTTTTACTATAAATTACACATGTATGCACTATTTCGAACTAACCTACTTTGTATTAATGTGTTTATTTTTATTTTATTTAATATTTACAAATTCGCCCAAATTACATCATATAAATAAAAAATAGAAGTATTTACAATAGTAGGGCTAGGAACCTTTTAGAAACCATAAGGCTTTTCAACTAAGGTCCCTGGTTACAATTTTAAATTAAATTAATATTATAATAGATTACCAGTTCAAATATTTCTGGATAAAGTAAAGTGATATATGTACAGTATACTGGGTGTCCCAAAAAAAACTTGCGCTGTTTGATTTAATGTAACATAAAAACTATAAAAGCTATTGCATTCAACTAAGATTTATTGTATTCAGAAAGGGCTAATTTAGATTTTGATATATAACATGTGAATGTCTGTGCAACCTTTACTAGTTACAAGTTATCAATGTTTTAAATCGAATAAGTATATTTGACAATGTTAAGAATTTGAAAAAAATTGCCTATCAAATATTATTTGAAGTTAAACTTGATATATACTTTTATTGTCGCCAAAAGAACGAATGAAAATAATTGTTGGATAAACATTTATTCAGGCTATGTTTACATTGTATCGGATCGGTTTTTGCTTCATTCACGAAATGTTCCGGCCCAAGTGTAAACACCTCGCCTTGTTATTAGGGCGCTAGTTTACCGCCAGTTCGCGGGTCCTCGTGTTAAATACGGCGGATCAAACACGACCTCGTGTGAGCGAAGGAAACAAGAAACAAAAGACCGATTTTATTTGGACCGTTGATGAGATTGAACTACTTTTGGAAGCAGTGCTTTCTTATAAAACAACTTGTGAATATGAAGGTATTTGTTGGGAATCTGTGAAAGCGAAGTATCAAAAGATTATGGAAATTTATGTCGAAAGGTACCCAGGGCCAGACGCAACTGGAGCAAATATTACTGAATTTCCACGAGCTAAGACGCCTGAGTTACTAACCAAGGAAAGGATTGCTGCTAAACTAAAAAGAGCAAGGACTGGCTACAAAAAGGCAGTTGATGCAGGCCGTCGCAGTGGGGGAGGAAGAGTTGTTCTAACGTTTTATGATTTGTGCGAAAATGTGTGGGGTGGTTCGCCAGCTGTTGAAAGTATTAGCGGTGGGATCGACACGTCAGCGCAAGAAAATCACACTTCAGATAGTTCTCTAGACCGACAAGATTCTGTCTCGCCCGGCCCGAGTGTAACGAGTAACAGTTCATTCTTTGGCGATGTAAATGAAGGTGAGCGCTCACTTGATTCACCTCTCCTACCTGGTGAAGATGAAGATGAAGAAAGTGATTTAAACCAACCACTGGCTGCACCATGTAGTTCTAAAGATAGACGAGCAAAGATTTCAAAGTTGTTAACAGACAGAAAGGATGCTAAAATGAGTAAAAAACTGAACTGTGAAACACAAATGTTAAATTGCACCAAGGAAGACCTACAACTTAAGCGGAAAATTTCAGATGGTATGGATAAATCTGATGCTGAGCTGTCAGAAACAATGAATAAAGTACATAAAACTATGGAATCTATTGGAGATAGTATCAAGCAAGGTTTTACATTGATGGCAGACATCTTAAAGCAAACCCAAGCACCTGCAGTCACCGACTCCTTCCCTTCTCTAAATGCTAACTATCATTTTCCAGCTTCACAAGCCACTCAAAATTTGCCAAATAATTATTTTGGACAACCCAGACAGGTAGCCCAGCAATATTCCCAGCCCCAGCAATATTCCCAGCCCCAGCAATATTTGGGTCAGCCCCAAAATATTCCCTTTTCTAACATAAGCAATGATGAGACTCCTCAGTCATGATATTTTAGCCATTTCAAACAGTTCTGTCTTATGTTGGTATAAGTTAGTATGAAACTGATGCTTTATGTTAGTATATAAAGTTCCAAAACATTTCTGTCTTATAAGCAAGTCATGCTTGCCCAGGCTGCAGAGTATGGCAGTGGTGCACCCAAGATAAATTTATGCTATAACAATTGCGCACTTGCCATGCCCTTTCCGATTACATATTAAACTATTTTAACATAAAATGCAATGTGCAGCAATGCAGAAACTCAAGGAAAAACTTTAGTTCTAAGTTTGAAATGTATGTATTATAATATGACAAATTGAGCATTTTTGCATATTTTAGGACAAGTTGTTTGTGATTTTACTCTGAGTGTGCATCCACACCAGGCAAGCTGAAAAGTTTGCCTGACCACGGTGGGAATCAAACCCGCAACCTTTGAGATACTAGTCCAATGCTCTACCAACTGAGCTATGAGGTAACAAACACACACACAAAAATTATCATATCTTATGATACATTGATATCGAAGGAACTAGACTCTGTTCCAAAATATCACCAACTCAAACAGACTTGACCTTGTAGCTCAGTTGGTAGAGCATAGGACTAGTATGCCAAAGGTGCATAGGACTAGTATGCCAAAGGTTGCGTTTTGCCTGACCACAGTATGCCACCGTGGTCAGGCAACGTTTTAGCTTGCCCGGTGTGGATGCACACTCAGAGTAATATCACAAACATCATATTCACCTGAGTAGATAACACCAACACACACAGAAACATTAGAATAAGTTGTTACATATAATACTTGCTAAACATGTAGTCCTAACATAGTGCCACTGAGCTAAATATATTCAAATATAACTCCAGTGTATAGGCAGCATATTGTGTTTAATTAATGCATTTTTTAATTACGACTACATACCAAGACGCACAGGTATTGATAAATACACATGTGAACTAGGTGCCCCTCAACCCTTTCAACTTTTTCATGGAGCACTTGAGCAGGCGCACCTGAGAATTTTTAGGCAGTTTTGTGCACCAGCACTTCGGGTGCGTCCTTGTTGCACACCAAGACCTTGTTGAAAACTGCCCTACTCTGTAGTCTGGATGCTTGCAAGAGTATTGTTTATTTTATGTTACGAGTATTGTTTATTTTATGGGACAGCTGTATTGACTGTATTAAAGTTGTGTTGCTTTTCGTAGTTGTGATTGTTTATATTTGGTTTAAGGAACCTACGAATTATCAGCTGCATTGTTCATAAAAATTTTAGGACTCACACCAGTAATTCCAAAGTAAAAATAATAACTAGTAACTATGAAATATTATAATAATAATTATTTATATATATACTCAGCTTTGATGTTATTCATGTTTCCTGCCATAAAGTAAAGCACCAAATAAAAAAACTTATGTCAGATTGAAGTGGGTCTTATACAACAAATATAGAGCAGGAAATCAGCCTGAAGTGGTTCTTGTATTTTGGGTGCTTAATTGCCCAAATTTCAGGTTCAACTTGGTGGTTCTTGAATGCACAAGTTCAGCCTTTTGAATAATGGTTTTTAAGGCACATTACAACCCTTCTAATTGAGAAACTAACTAAGAAAATCAATTATAAAGCTTTTCACTGCTTTTCAATTATGCTGAATTGATTTTCCTAGTTAGTTGATCAGTTAAAAGGGTTGTAATACTAGGAATGTTCGGTATGAGAAATTTCCGGTATCGGTATACCGAAAAAATTATACCGATATTATCAGTATACCGGTTTTCCTTTGATAATCATAAAGGAAAATTCTTTAATGGAAATTTTGAGTAATTCTAAAAGGGAAAACGATAATTTCGAACATGTTTAGAACGACACATACTCAGTGTAAAATCTCACTGAAGTGGAAATCCTAAATCATTGCAGTACGTAGAAAGTTCTTTGAATTGCCATTCAGTATTAAAATAAAGGTTATGGTTTTGCCATGTAGTTGGTAAATTTAACACGGTATACCGAAAAATTCCGGTATGTCGGAAATTTTGGTATATCGGTATGGTTGAATATCCGGTATCGATATACCGATATTGATTTAATACCAATATTTTCGGTATACTGAACAGTCCTATGTAATACCATGCACTGTTCTTTATGTAGGGCTTTTCTGCATATACATATACAAATGTATGATGAAAATTTTAAATCTTATTTACATCCAGTCATATCCTGTTAAGTTTAAATGTAACTTGAACTATAATCTCAACCCTGATGTTGTGTGGAAAAACCCAATCAATTGAAACTTGCTAGCTATGATAATATATACAATATAATTCATGCATGGAAGCAATAACTCAAGCAGTGAGGAATAAAATCCTCTTGTGACAATTAGAAACATCCAAGTAAAACACTATTCTTAACACCTGTAACTGTAAGGAACAGTGTATTTAGCAATATGAGTGATTGAGCGTAAATGTAAACACAACATACAATATATAGAGTACCATATTTTATACTTATTCAAAGTATTTGACATAAATTCTACGAATTCTCTTTCCAGCGGTTTCATTGGTGGGCAGATTTGGACCAGGTTGCCTTTGCCTTTGGAACTCAACATCATACTGCACTGCCTGTTCAACCATCTGTTTACTTACAATTTCATTATTCATTTCACAGAAATTATGTAAAATGAAACAGGTGTGAATTACAGCAGGGAGGTCATCAATATTAATGTCCATCTCTCTTCTCAGGCAACCAAAGCGAGCTTTCAATCTCCCAAAGGCACACTCTATGACCATCCTAGCAGAAGAAAGTCTGTATCCAAAAAATTGTTCCTGAGCATCTTTCCCCCCTTCAGCAAACTCTTTCATTAGAAAAGGCAAGAGGGGGTAGGCAGGGTCACCTAATATACAGATGGGCACAGGATCTTCATTCTCAACAACTACTCTGGGACAAGAGGGAATTGTGCCATCTCGCAGTTTTTGGTTTAGGCTTGAGTTTGCAAATATGCGAGCATCATGAACGCTCCCCGGCCATTTGATCACTACATCGAGAAAACAGTATTTATAGTCGGCACATGCTTGGACATTGATCGAGTGTCTACCTTTTCTGTTTATAAAATCAGTTGAATTTTCTTGTGGTCTTTTAATTGGAACGTGAGTACCATCAACAGCGCCGAGGCATTGTGGAAATCCATGTATCTTGTAAAACTCTGTCACAAGAAATTTTACTTCATCTTCTGTTTCTGGTAGTTTAATATAACTTCTTCCCATAACATAACTGATTATTTGTGTGACACGCCTAATTACAACTGAAGCAGTACATCTTGCAATCCCAAAGGCATTTGCAACCTTTTGCAATCGTCCTTCGTCAGCAACATAGTAAAGTGTGATTGCAATTTGTTTCTCTACAGATAAAGGTTTTCTATATCTAGTCGTTTTCTTCTCAAGATATGGCCGCAACTGATTACAAAGTTTCAGGAAGTTAGGTTTAGACATACGGAAATTTTCCTTCCATTCTTCACTGACAACCTTTTCGTTTATAAAGTTTTCCCACCATATACTTGAGCGACCAGGTCTTATCCACATTCTTCGAGGTCGTCTTCTTATCAACTTTGACCGTCTCATACGAGACTCCAGCACAGCCATCAGTCTATACCTTCGTCGTTTCTTGTACATTATTACCAGAAGTGAAAATAGTGCAGATGTCAGTTGAAAAAGTGAGCAAGATATGCCCGTAAACAACATTAACATTGCCAAACGTAACGTTTGTTGTTTGCTTGCCGCCATCTTGAATCATGATTGAACCCCAAAATTGCTCCGATTGTAAGCGCCCTGGTGTTTACATTGCAATGAGAGCGTTGCAAAAACCGATCCGATACACCGCGCACCACTTCGAAGAGCGAACCGCCGCACCACCGGTCCGTTGCAGAAATTGAGACGATAACAACATTTCATATGTAAACAGAAGCCCTATCCGGTATGGTTTTTGCGTCGGACGCAAAGTGATCCGATACAATGTAAACATAGCCTTAGATAGCTCAGTGAAAAGCCGCCATTTTGAAACTGAACTAAATATGTCACTGGAGCACTGGCGCTCTCTATCGTCGGAGTTCGGAATTGTGCGCGTGCGTACAAGTGTATGGGCTAATAAACAAAAAATGTACCACAAGCATGACATGAGCCGGCTATTACGTACATAAATACGAACTTTTTACTGTACTAAATAAATTACGGAACCGAGGTATCGAAGGCATTTTGGCGTTGCAGCCTGAGCCTGCGATGAGCTAACGCAAACTCGATTTCTCGACTACGAAAAAAAAAAGAAAAAGGGGGATTTAAGACACTTGGCCTACAGGCCAGTGTAATAAAAATGTTATCGATTTTTGGAGTTTCACTTGTTTTGTATAACTTAGTTTGTTCCGCTATAAAAAGATTTTCTGCGCTGGAGAAAAGCTTCCATCGCGACATGACTTGAGTTGACGGCATGACATGTGCACTCTATTACAGTATTAATATTTGTAAAATATAAAGTGTTGGTCACTTGCTGGTCGTTCAAGGTTTTAAATTTTGGTAATTCTTTGACTTTAATAGTTATTAATATGATTTATTTTGCCAATATTTTTCCGTTGTCTGTTAAGGACAACCATACTGATTTAATATTGGTTTCGTTGCACATATATATATTTACTTTTTACGTTCGCTAATACAAACGGCATTCCGCGAATTTAACAATCAGTAAAGTTGCTTTTGCTTTGTGCGTTGCGAGAATAATCCGCTACATGTTTCTAATAAATAATCTACATCATGTTTGGGCTGCTTATTTTTAATATTTTACACAAGACTGCCAAACAGTCTGAAGAGAGCTATTTTGGCAGTTGCAGTGCTCTCACAATCAAATTTTCGAATTCCTTAGAAGACCTTAGAAAAAGCTCGAAAATTCCTCAGATTTCCTTAAAATTCCTTAAATTGGTAAAAATTACTAGCCTACTACAAGGCCTGATCACATAGTGGCAAAAAGTATTTTTTCCTCCTTTTTTGCTGTTTTTCAACCTTGTTTCTAAGCACTAAAAACTGAAAACATTTAACATGATGTATTTTTATCGCTGCTGCATGAATAGCTTAGAAAATCTGTAGATTTCAGAAGAAACATATACTGACATTTAACTTTTGAGAATTTTAATGAAAATCAGGGGCGAAACTTGAGGAGGGTATGGAGGGTGTAACACCCCTCAAAATACGAATTATCTGGATTGGCAGGGCAAATCATCTGAATTGGCAGGGTCACCAAAGATATAAAATGATAGAATGTAGAGTTATCAAATAACTTACAGGGCTTTCAGAGGGAATTGAGTAAAATTTAAAGACCTAAATTTTACAGATATTGGTCCAAAAATAAGGGTCCACCCATGTTTTAACAGGAATTTGTACGAAAAAGTGTTTTTGATCCTTAATTTTACTGGTTTACTGGTAATCAATACTCTGGTTTGTTATTTTGGTCAATTTGCCACATCACATTTTCCTTAAAATTGAAAGGCTAAATGAATTCCGCACTTTCACTTGATTGGCTAGCTAAGGTCACCACTTTCATACGATTGGTTTAAAAATGATGCCATATTACAACTGCTCGTGGTGATGCGAGCAAAGCTCAAAATAGTCTGATTATAAATACAGCTCAAAAATTGAAGCAACGAGAAACGAGGCAGCTAAAATAGTACGATTTGGGCTGTAATCACACTATTTTTAACCAAGTATAGAGAACAGCTATAGAATGAAACTGATAATAAAGGAATACCGAATGCTTTTCCGTGCAGGATTGCGTGATCCATGCACGCGGAATGTTGCGAGACTTTCGGAAAGCGTAAAAATACACGAGCCGTAGGCGAGTGTATTTTTAAGCTTTCCGAAAGTCGAGCAACATCCCAAGTGCATGGATCATGCTATCCTGCACGGGAAAACCATTTGGTAATTGTTTTATAAAATTACTACACAATCTCGTACCCAGAGCCATCGTTGAGTGGCTCTGGCCAACCGAGTTGAGTTAATTAGAAAATACGGTAAAAGTACAGTAGAGAGCTAACTTTTTGCTGAAAATATCAATAAAATCGCAATTTTTCCCGTCAAAAGCATTAAAATATGTTCGGCGCAGTTAGTGTGAACAACAGGGATACTGAGTGCACGTGTGATTTCCGTTTTACAAGTAATTTGAGATGATTGAAACACCGGCTTGTATACATGTCGACACTCATCGATCAAATGGCTTCTGTTCCATTCAAAATGTTCCGATTTCTTCGTAAGGTATACGTACGTTTAATTATTTGTTATATAAAAGTAATTTAATAACTCTCAGCTTTATTAAATAGGCTATTCTTGAGCAAGAACGTTGCTTGTTGCACACTGGTTGCCTTTAATTCTTTAATTTGTTACAATTTATATTGTTCATGTCATCATTATTTTGTTTCAAGGTTAATTTTTGAACCTTGGGCTCTGAATTTCCATCCTAATTGTAGTCTAGTTAGAATGCCACAAAAGATATTGCGTACCCCCTAAAAATGCAGCAGATTTTCAGAAATTCTATAGCATATCCTGTGAGCTGATCATACCCAGTATTTATTACAATATATTATACATGCATTATTATGAATCTATCATACCTAGGGAATTTAAAACCAAATATTGTTCTTCATACAATGATTAAATAAAGATATTTTTCTCAATAAGGAAGGTCTGTACTGCTGTAGCAATTGAGCAAAAGCATGTAGCAGTTTAACTTTAGTTTTACATTTCTTTCAGATACACCTGGGACTGTAAATATGATAATCTTTTTATTATGCCAATACCTCCAGAAACAATAGAGAAATCAGTCTCAAGTTAAAATTATACAGTCCTGTATTCTGGATCAGTAAACAACTTGGCATGTTGCATTATAATGAAGAGTCTATAATATAATGAAATACTCAAGAATGGAATAGTATGGTTGGAGAAGTGCATTGCTCATTAATTATGTGATAAAAAGTAATCACGTTAAAGAATCAAGAATCACACATGGCCTGACTAATAACAATGTCCTGTTTGAATAAGTGTAATATCATTTATACTTTCATGCTTGAATTACTTGATAGGCTGATGTGTAGAATGACACATTATTGAAATCAATAAAGGTTTTAAGGAAATTGCAATTCATTTTATGGTACCACTGGGAGGTTGTGCAGGGCACAGAGTAAAACTTTTCCAGGGGAACCATAGGACATCATAATTATTAAATCGGAGAAGGTGTTTTACAATTTATTACACTTTAGGGACGGACCATTTGATTTTTGATGGGGGGGGGGTAGATTTTCAGTTTGCTCGATATTTTTTTTCCGCCTCCTGACACTGTTCGATTTTTTTTTGTCAGTCAGAGGACTTGCACGATATTTTTTTGTATGCATGTATATACATTTTTTAGTTTTTTGTTTTTACATTTTCTGGTATATAATAGGTATTAAATTGGACAAGTACTGGTGTAAGACATTGTGTATCCTAAATAATGAGAGGACCAGTATTCAAAAAATGGTTATTCTTCATTTCTTTACTCCGACTCCTATGATGAACATGTACGTAAAAAAACTAGGGAAACTACGATTATATATAGAAACTAAAGTAGGTGAAATTTTTATGGGACTCCATAAAAGGTGAGGATATAAGAGTGAGATATTGAAATTGAGTAGGAAAGGCAACCCTACACGCGTTTCGACCTAACAGTCTTCTTCAGCAGGGTTTTTTACAGGGGTAAAGGGGAAATATAGAATTTGCAGAGGAGAAGGAAGGAGAGTTTAGGAGATCGGAAAATAATGTGAACTTGGATCCTCTACGTAGCAAAATCCACACCAGAACTAGCTATATACCAATATAGCTAGCTAGTTCTGGTGTGGATTTTGCTACGTAGAGGATCCAAGTTCACATTATTTTCCGAACTCCTAAACTCTCCTGTCTTCTCTCCTGCAAATTCTATATCGTATCATTCATTTACTAATCTCTGTTTTGGTTTTGTTATATATGTACATGTTTTAGTTATTATTGTATATTCATATATTTTAAACAAAAATCAAACCCTGCACGGTGTTATCATTATTTTTATCCCTTATGTATCACTAATTGCCAAACGCCCCTATCCCTGTCTTATAAGCTCCTACACCACTAACACCATATTTGGATGCAATCACCTACAGTCACATGATCACCCTTACCATCACAATCATTCAAACTCACTATACCATTGAGTAAGTTAACCCTTAATTGAAGGACCTGCAAATTTGCTTCACTTCACCAATACGAACGATGAACAATAAAGTGCGTAGTGTTGGAATGTCCCGCAAACAACAAGACCTTTGGTAGGATAACTTGACTAATAACATGTATAGTAGTTACATTCTTTCACTGTGTAATTGGTTATTTTCAGTTATTTCGTAATAATTTGTTTTCCTCTTGGTCTCACATTATTTTCCGAACATTTATAAACTCTCCTTCCTTCTCCTCTTCAAATTATATCTACACCCTCTTAAAAAACCCTGCTGAAGAAAACTGTTAGGTCGAAACGCATACCCCTGTACGCTATTCCTACTCAATTTCAATCTCTCGCTCTTATATCCTCGCCTTTGATTGTGTCCCATAAAAATTTCACCTATTTTAGTTTCTACGGCCGTGATTTAATCGTAGTTTTCCTAGTTTTTTATGTACATGTTCATCATAGGAGTCGGAGTAAAGAAATAAAGAACAACCATTTTTGGAATTATACTGGTCCTCCCATTATTTAGGCTACAGGGCCGTAGGAAGCTCTTTTTGCTTGGGGGGTTGAAAGCGAGGGCCGAAGGCCCGAGGAAATTTTAAAATTTAGAGTCTCTGAAACGCCATTTCCTGGACCCTGCAGCCTCCCGGTTGCTACATACGGCCCTGGGCTACATGCGGAAATGCACCGAATTGCAGTAAGGATTACCACTCGAAAGTCTTGCTCGACATTTTTTTTCGTCCGTTTATTCTTGCACGATATTTTT